AGGACCACTAACTAGCTTGTGGCAGCAGCTAGTACAGTTAGCATATGCAACAGCACACCAGTAAGTGACTGCCTGTGTTACAAGAGAAAAGGTCTATGTCGCAATAATCTCCTGATACTTTTGTCCCGGTGACAAGGCACAGTTCCTGACTAATGAAAAGTGCGTCGACTAAGACTCTTCTCATCAACTAACAACTATATCAACTATAAGGGGGCACCAGAGGGCTGTGATCCTCAGACTATTATTTATACTGTAACTTTATGAGCAAAAACAGGTTACTTACTGTATTTTACAATGCAACATATTATGCTTGATCTCAATAGGAAGCAAACTGATTTGTCGTTCCACAGTCAAAATAGACTAGTCTGCAGACTTTCACAAAGCTCCTATGAAAGAAAAGAAAAAGAGCAGTAGCTTGCCAAAATTCCCACAGTCAAACATGGCAACAAACAAAGTAAAAATTAAGTTCTTCTCTTCACAGATTGCACATCTCCCAAGTGTTTAGAATAGTACCAAGCATTTCCCGCTGACAAAATATCCACAGGAATCATGCTTTTTTTCATTCATAGAAAATCTGATTATTTCTTATTCAAGACAAATGTTGAGGTCAGTGAAATTTAAGAACATCGAAAGTAGCATCCAGAAAGAAATCCAGGGAAAAGCTTAGCTGAAAAAAAATAGAGATGATGTTTTACCTTCTAAATGAGATGTGTTGATGCTAATGCACCACTGCTTTGTTATTCTTTGATTTGTCGCTGCTGAAGAACAGATTTGCTGCTACAATTGGATTTAAGAGCTTCATACATAGTTAAGGAAGTCTGGCTGTTAGATGGGTGTGAAAGATTTCTAAAATGTACACTGCAGAACAAGCTCTTTCAGGATTATCGGAACTCTGTCAAAAACACGTCTTCATTTTGAGTTAGAACATGGTTACACATTTTTGCTGATAACTACAAGTATGCTGTATTTAGAGGGAACAAAACTTTCATTCATTCATTCATTCATTCATTCATTCATTCATTTTCAGCACAATCTTTTAACTCTACTTAACCCTGTTCTAGACAAAGTCATCTAAGCAGAAGCATGCCAGCCCCCTCAGTTTTCTTAATTGTTATTCTCACTCTTTTCAGCTCCAGTTCATGCTTGCTCTCACAGAAACACTAAAGGTTATTTGTAACCTCCTTTGAGATATCAACGGCCCCAGTGTCAAACAGTTTACGCTCCACGGCACAGATACTCCACTCCAGCCAGTCTGATCAAATACTTTCCAGTTTGATTCAGTTTCCACTTGAAAGACCAGTGAGCCAGGATCAAATGATCAGATTCACTCGCCAGCAGGACCTTGTGTCATCAAACATCTAACACCTCATAGCCTACACCACCATCACCACCACCACCCCAAGACCCCCCAAAGAATCTGCCTCTAAGGCTGTACTCTAGCGAATGTCAAACATTCAGCTTTGCATGCTATTCTCTTTTGCCAGGAAGCAAATAGACATTTAAAATTAAATAGATACTTGAATGGCCGGACTACTTTTGATATTTTGATTATTCTGTCCCCTTTTTTTGTCACATTATGGGAGAAATTTTTACATTGGCCCTCCAGCTATCATTAAACAGAAACATTAAACTGCAGGGCGCTGTGAAGAAAAGGCCGAATTAAAAATGTCATGATGTCCATTTATGAGCTTAAGACTAGCTGTGGACTGGAAATATAACTAAAAGTTACCACAGAAACACCAGCTGCAATATGTTGACATTAGGACCTCACCAGCATATGGTCTGTGGGTCAACACAGCAATCTGTTTCTCCGTAGATCTGTTTCCCGAAAACAAATAAACTAATCTCAAAGATAAAGCCCCTAAAGTAGAAGTAAAATTCATCACTTTTTGTGTAAGTAAATATGTTCTGCTGTCACCTTCCATGGTGAGCTACTGCTTAAAGTACTTCATGCATACAAACAGAGACATGTTCTCCCCTTCTTCAAGCCCACATAGCATTGGTCATTAACTGTGCTTTAAGACATCTGTCCCTTTACAACAGTCAACATTTGGAAAGTGGAATCTCCACTTTGAAAGTGGAGGCTACAGTAGTAGTAGCCGAGCTTCCTAGATGTTATTTAGATGTTATGTCAGTGTTGTGTTGGCCCAGCATTATTGAAAGGAGGGTGTCTAGCTAGCAGTAGTTGACTCTGCTGTGTCTCCTTCATGGGTAGATGTGGTGATGGTAAATGACCAGATTACTGAGGTAGGTTGCCTCATGATTCAAATCAGAACAAGGAAAGAAGACATGGAGTAATGTAGGAAGTGCTCAATTTACAGATGTGATTAACTGTATTTCAGGCCTACACACACAGATATTACACCAATCACATACCAATCACAACATCGTGCTCAAATATGAAGTTTTGTCCAATAAATCCACATTATTTCTATCTTACTTCAACATACTGCCATTCAAAAATCAGTTTTCCTCCACATAAAGCTGCATGGTAAAAACGGGGCCACTGTGACATTAGGTGGGTGAGACTGCTGCTCAGTATGGCCTTTGGCTGCTTAATGAGATAGAACATTTGGCCAGTTCTGATCTGGCTGTTTTATTATGTGAGCAGACAACTGCAAAACCCATTTAGCAGCCAAATACCTGTGGCTTTGGTTTTGACAGAGTTGCCTGCTTGTCCTCTGTGTCTCTCTCATATAATCAATCACTGCCTGAATTGGAGGAGAACCCATAAAAATCAAACAATACTCCCCCATGTAGAAATCAGACTTTTTTTATAAAGAAATCCCTCATACAGTAGTCAAATGATTGAAAGGAGCTGCCGACAGGCTGACTTGACAGATACTTGTCTAAATTCTTGTTTACAATTGAAAGGCAGTGAAAAGAATGCAGCTTTCGTTTCTAAACAATGATTTTGCCTGCGTGGTTTACATTTTTCTGCTGTCTTTTATTGTGGCACTAAATTTGAGAGCGTTGGTCAAAACATCAAGTCTTCTGTTGTTCCCCCTTCAAGTTTCCTGAACAAATTCAGTAATATATGGCTTTTATAACAGTCAGACAGATGTTTGACTTTCTTTGTTAAGACATTCAAAACTAGAAGCTGGACATGATACCTGATGTGAAATGACATCACTAAATGCAATAAAAATTATGATAATAATAAGAAACGTATAATCTCTGTATCTGGAGACTGAAAAAAAGTGGAATAAAGAGAGGTTTGCAGGGCTTTAAGCTTTCATGACTCAGTTAGGGCTTGATTTAATGAAAGGTGGGTGTGTTAGTGTGGATAGGAGGCACCTGTAGGGATTCTTTATCTGGATCAGAGTGAGACATTTTGAGCCTAAGAGACCAGCAGATCCCTTAACGCCTAATAAATATTTGAATACTTTTTCTACCTAATAAAAAAAGGATTATTTTGATGTTTTTACAACCTCTACTGTTTACACTGGCAGTTTGTCAGACTTTGGATATTTAAAAATGCTACATACCACTTTATAGTGGATTCATTTGAGAATAATTTTCCATCCATCCATTTAAAGGATGATTCCAACCTCTCCATGACTGTAGAGGCCGTTTCTACCATTAAGTACCCAGAGATTTTCTCCTCTTTGCATCTGTTCTTTTTATTGGATTTTGGGAATACTAAAGAGCTGAGGCTTATACCAAAATATTTAAATGTATATGCAGGGTTAGGCCTTAATTAGCATTAACACCAGTATATTTAAAAGTAGGGGGGAAAAGTTCTAGAATGTTTTCAAAAAAAGAGAAAAAAGAGAAATCATACTGGAATTGTCATGTTGGGTTTTGATTCCCCTTTGCATGGACTGTTAGGCAAATAGGCAGCTGAGCTAGACAGAATGGAGGACTCTGCAGGAGTAATCTGCTGCTGGGGTTTCTCCAGTACGACTGATGATGGGCAGCAGCTTAGAGCTGGCAGGATAGAAAGGGATGCTGTGGCACAGAGAGTACTGGACATGTCGGTAGTGATTACATTCTGCTTCAGAAAGGGTCAAGGGTCAGATTGAGCATGTGCTGGCAGCTTCCTGCGCCAAAATGACTGTATTCCCAGCACTGTACAATGCCAACTCCTTATGTTGCCCCCGGCGAGCTCTGCAGCCTCACTTTCACACTATCACTGCTTCTCAATATCAGAAAATCAAATTCAATTCCCTTCAATTGCATCTACTATACACACTTGTATAGCAGATACAAGTATTCCCTGGGGATAAGAGTTGGGCACTCAAGTCCGATTTCGGGAAAAGAATTCAGATTTTAGCATTACTCATACCCAACAGTCTCTGTTTAATAAAAAATAAATAAACCTCTCCAGAAGTCCTGGTTGTCCCAAGAGGTCCACTGTCTTTGCAAGTTGTCTTTATAAAGGAAGCTGGCTCCCTTAGGACGAGCTATGTCGGGGTGATAACACGATCAGGACATGTTATCACCCCAACATAGGTCAGCACTGAAAAAAGCAGTTTGCTATTAGATGACAGGGAAAATTTGCGTCTTTCAAAAGGGAAGGCTTTGATTTTGGTGCTCCCATTCAAATGAATTGAATTCTGTACTTGACACACAGTTGCCTGTACAAGTTATTATTGTATTAACCTATATAGTTATGTCACATTATTGTCATGGTATGACTGACTTCCACATAATTTGAGACAGCACAGACAGCCGTCTTTCTGTTCACTGCTTTATATGTTATAGTATTGTAATCATATTCTACTTCTTAATATTAAGTTAATCAAATGTAAGCTAAGGTTTACATTCCAACATATAAGCATATGATCCTTTAGCAACAAAGAAACCATGCTGCTTTCTAAGTAACAACTCTTAGGTTTAATCAAATGCAACTCCAAGCATAATCTTCTAAATTAATGTTTACATGAATGATGTATGATGTTAAAATCACACTGAAAGTCTTTCACAGGATGAACCACTGTCAAGTCAGTCTAAAAAAGCTCTGGGGTGCTTTTAGGAATGTTTGAAGAGAGACTCACCGTCCTCTCGAGACTTTTGAATGAACGCATCAACCCCACTTTCTCCGTAGTTTCCCTCAGAAGCTACCGTGGAGACGTAATTCCAGCGCATGGCTTTGACAATGTCCACCATGGCCTGGGCCTGGTAGGTGTCTGGAGGCACCACCCGGGAGAAGAAATCGTAGCGGGTGTTATCACTCAGCTCCGGTGCCGTGGAGGCATAGCTCACCTGAGGGATCTATGAGAGAGGCAGAAAGAGAGCGCAAGAGATATGGTTACACACTGTGGATAAAGTTAATTTGTGTAAATTAATTATCTGTACAGAAGGAAGGTTTGTTGCAGTCTCTATCATCTACAGTGTAACATTTGCTAAAATCTCAACTGCTCCTTGGTTGTTATTCACCCTCTTCAGTTGGCACACTGTTGCTTTAAATAGTTCTGGTGATCACTGGCTTAGCTACAGTACTTTCTGAGCAGTCAAGCAGCACTAATCTGTATGTGAATTCACACTTTGTCACTAATATAATGTGAGATTTATTTGTTGAAAAACATAAGTAAAAGATAATCTGCCTCTGAGAGCTTTAATAATACCCAGTGTCAGAAGACACATCCATTATTGTTTAATGGAAAGAAAACTTTAAATATAATATAACTTTATTGTGTTAGCTCAAACAGTTTGAATAAAAGCAGAACCCAATCAGGTCAGAAGTTGAGGGATACTCCAATAGGATAGAAGATAAGCAAGTCAAACTTACTGGACTTGAATTGAAGATAATCTTTGAATGAAGTCTGATTTCTCAGTTTTAAAATGCCTTTGTGAGATGTAAAAACAGCTATAGATGGCGAGTGCAGTTTTAAGAGTTCTGCTTGTCCTTACATGCCGCTGTTATAAAAGGTTTAACTCCCCCTGTTCTTAGTTTCACAACAGAAGCAGGAAAACTCTTAGTTGGTAAATGTAATCTCTCAACTTTTGCTTGCTCAAGTTATTTCAGATTTATGGCTGTCATAGCTTCTGTGATCTTCCTATGGCTTCTGTGCTGCACAGTTAGGAAGCTAACTGACCAGAATTTATGACATTCAATAATGTATTTCATGGTTTAACTTCAAATATGGACACACTTTTAATGCTGATGCATTTTTTTTGTCCTGATTCCCCCTCATTGATAAATTCAGGCAGTAGAAGGCAGAGTGGCAGCTGCTTCAAACCAGAATAGAACTTGACTGCACATGACTCATTGGGTGAACATCTTTTAATGTGCATTAACCAGCCCAGTATTAAAGTACACTACTTGTCCTCAAGCCACTCATGCCTTTTAAAAAGGTCTTAGTTTAAGAAAGAAACATTTTTACAGTGAAAACACTGAAAGTAATACACAAACAAAAGAACATAATGTTGGCAAGTGAAAGAAATGGGAGTATTTCTTTTGTTTTTGAACTTCCCATTTCCACAGTGTAGAGATAGCCTAACCCTAACCCCCATATACTAGAAGTTATGTGTTTTTTCTGAATTCTTTCAATAATATTTGAATTGTAATGACACTTTATTTCAATAAGATCAAAATAGTTGACTTTGACTGTGCCTTTTCATGCGATGACTGACACATGAATGAAATATTGCTCATTCTTTCCAAATACTGTTTGTCATGGCACCTCTGCTCTGGGGATTTTGACAAATGCTGTCACCTTTGAGCATCCTTACTGTGATGGAGGGATGTGTGGATGGAGGGATAAGCTGAATATGACACTGAAAAATACTTTGAAACCGGCAGTAGGTGACAACATTATTTTCCTAAAGCTTAGAAGATGTGTGACTTTATTTTTATATATCTGCTTTTTACAAATCTGAATTTGAAATTAAAAATGGTATGTTGTGGAGGAAAAAAGTTACTTATCCACCCAGTGTTTACACTCAGTGCTACATCAAAGTTAACTTTACCTACCAACAGTCTTACCAATATTTGCTCCACTGACTGCAGACAGACCGCTGTGGAAGTGATATCGTCCCTTCCTCTCTCCCTCACTTCCCACAGCGGAGGCCTTTGATGTAGTCAGCTGTAGCACTGCACTGATCCCGCGACTACTGTGCTCCCTGCTTGTAGCTGTAGCCTGTGTTAGGAGCACAGCTGTTCCATCTGGACCCATGACCTACAGCTCCTAACAACTCATGTAACTCAACACTGACTTTCTTTTTGCCACAAGGTTCCACTGCGTAAAGCCAGAACAGGGGCAGCAAGTGCACAAATAAAGCAGAATGCAGAAGTAATGAATTCCTGTAAAATATGTCCTATTGTTTCATGTTCAATTTAATTTTAGCATTGTGCTTCAGTGCAGGCTTTATTGGTAATGACTGGCAAGCATTCCAGTCATAAGCCTTGTTAACTCAATTCCCTTTCAAAGAAGAGAAAAGACTGAAAAAAAATCTATGTATGCACTAATGGACCATGTGCATGTTGCGCACATGTGGCGCACCTGACCCCCAGGTTGCTCACTTTACGCCTGCCTATGCAGAACTTTCCACCCTTTACATCAGTGTTTCTCTCCTTATCGGAAGCGATAAAAGTGTGAATCTGTTTTTTTGGACTGCTTTGACGTCATAAGCCAGTATCTAGCAGACTGAAATTAAAGTGTTGTGCAAAGGTGTTTGGAAGGTGTTAATCATGTCTCTTTTTAGATTATTCCAGCATTCTCACACATAGCAGCACAGTGAAAATTAGCCTTTTAGCCATTTGCACCTATAATTCACTCCTCAATTTATGTGTCAGAGTGATAGATGTGCTTATATTTGTTAATTTTGCAAAGTTAGTACAGTATGTTCTTTGGAATAAAATATGTGGTGATACCACAAATAAAATAAAAATGCATGTAATTTCCTCTTCCTATGGCACCTATCAGCATCATAAACTCTCCTCTAAGAGGGGATTTTTAAAACAGAAATAACAGCATGACTGTACCTGCTTGTTCTGCGCCTATTATTAGCTTATAATAACCGTTCAATTTTTTTTTTTTAAAAGGCTGATGACACAGAATATTTTGTTAGAGGTTGAAATGTATGTTGTAAAATTCAGTTCAGTTGCAGAATTTAAAGAATAAAAAAGTATTAGTGAAAACAATAGAGACTGAGCTTAGTAAGTGATTGTGGTATGTCAGAAAAATCACGCAGTACTTTAAAAAATGTTTTGCTTTGGATTTTAAATATCTTTCTCTCTTTTTTGTGTTTTTAATTTTTCTGCTGTCATGTATTGTGGTGCTGCCGTCCCATATCTGCCAAATAAGTGGGAGCTGCAGTGAAGCTACCCTGTGTTGTATTTTTCACCTGAGGGATTTTCACCGCTGTAACAATCACACAATTTCAGCATTCTGTCAAGAACCGGGACAGGCAGAGCTTATCATGTTTGTGTTGGCGAGATTTCTTGCTCACTGGACTACAGCGATAGTCCTGAACAGTGTGCTTCCTCTAATAGAACACAGTCACTTCTTAGCATTGACTCAAGAAATTAAATTCCTCAGCAAAGGCCTCCTCTGATCTCTCTCTAGAGAATCAAAAGAAAGAGGGATTGGGAAGAAAAATAAAGATGTGATGTGTTGTGTTGTGAAAAGTGAATGTGCCGTATGCAAGCAAGGAGAGAATATCTTGGCAGGGGTTCGATGTATAAAAGCTGCACAGTACAACTGAATTCAGGATGGCTCACTATACTCGCAGCCAAATTCAGTGCTAAAGATCTTAGGAGGTTGTTCAAAATGTTCTCATGGCTTCATTTTAGTGATGCTGTGTGCATTCACCATCTGTTCAGGCTGAGAGTAAAGCAGCTGAGCTTCCTGTCCTCCGATATAAGCTCTTTGTGACCCTATCCCCTCACAGAGTATACCAATACATTGTGTTTCCCTCCCAAGTTTATAGAACCGCTTTAATCTGCACCCCCTCACCCCAGAACTATCCATTTAATTGCTAATGGGCTTGGGAAATATGCTTAATTGCTGTGATGTGAGTCTCAAGCAGATTTTTGATGCAGATTTAATGTTCAAATCACTTGCTTTAAATAACTGTGCCTTTTTAAAAATTCAATGAGCTCATTTGGCACTGCATCAATGCAGGAGTAATGATGCTCATTAGAAGTGTACAGAAATATTATACATCTGTACTGTTTGCTGGGGAAGAAAAATCAAAAGCTTTCGTCAGGCTTTGGAAATGTTTCAGTAAATACTTTATGCAAATATATTAGCAGTATATTTTTAATCTATGAAAACAGAAAGAAAAAGTTTTGCAGGACTTTTGTTACTGTGTGAGGTGTGTGATATTTCATCTGAAGTTGCAAAACAGAGAATTGAGACATTAAACCCAAGAGCGGTGGTAGTGGTATGTGACATTTTTAGCACATAGATTCAGCTAAAACTATGAATTTCCCAATGATGACAACTCACTGTTTGCGAAACTTAGAAGTTATCCAGTCATAGTTTACTGTAACGAGCTACAGCAGGCCAGTAAAGCTTTGGATTTCTCTATATGCTCATGTGCAGAGGTTACGTTAGATTACCTCGTCATCCGTTGACAGGGTTGTAAAAATGTAGTCCTAATATATTACTAACCATCATTTTAATATACATTTTTAATGATGAGATATAACCTCTTTTCAATTACAACTCAACCACAATAACATTTAATATAAAGAACATTTATTAGGGCATGGAGAGAAAAGATAAACTGAGACACCGACTGTGCTGATATACGATATCAGTATTACTAGTTTGTCAGCCAAATCACAATTATTGGGCTTTCTAAATAAACTTTGGGCACTCAGCTGCTGTGACACTTTGCTCTAGCTAGGCTATGTAGAGATATACCAAACCAATGCAATGTCTAGTGCCAGCTAGACAAGGAAGTCATGCATGTGAGATCACAGACAAGACTCCTAGACAATAGCTAATTAATATACACACTCGCCATCAACTGGACAATGGGGTCTACTACAGGTCTACATGTTGTTATTGACAGTCTTGCATGTGAATTACAGTAAATTGCCCTCAGTGTTAAACTGTCAAAATGAAGGACAGTCTTTTTAATTTTTTATGAACATTATAGATTTCAGCTGACAAAATCAACAGTCCTTGGCTACAAATCGAAGCCAACTTTGGTTTACCTCTGTTTAAAATTAAAGACCAGTTGTTTCAAGTTACAATGGAAAGCTTGACAGGTGTCGCAACAGGGGTTGGTCTTAGTTAAGGGTCAATTCCACCTGTCAG